CTCCCCCTCCCCCCCACCCCATGGTCAGGATGCCATGAGGACAAAAGGAGACCGTGTATGTAAAGTGCTGGTGAATGCCTATACACATGGATTCCTGGCTGTAGAATCGGGTGTGGAAAAGACATACCCTCGTCCCAGGCACCTTTTACACTGTGCCCCAAGTCCTCACCCACCCACGGGGGGGGGCTATGCCATGCCTCTGAGAAAACCTGGGCTGGCTCTCGATTCCCACCTCCTTCCCAGCAGCTGCCTGGCTCGTTAGGAGGCTGCGTGGAGGCTGGGCTCTGGCGACTAATCAAGCAAGTGTCCCTGCTGCTTGGGGCCGCTTCAATCAGGAGGACACGGCAGGAGGCATTATTAGCTGAACCCGAGCTGGGGCTCCAGTGGCCAGAGAGGAGCCCCTCTCTGGAGGGTCCAGAGGACGAGAGGACGCTCCATGCATGCATTTGTGTGTTTATTGATAAAGAGCCACATTTGCACTTCACACTGGCCTGAGCCAAGCCAGAAAAAGGGGCTGAGTCTCAGCTCTCCTGGGATCCACTCTGAGTTCAGGGAACAGCCAGCTTCTGGTATGTGCCCGGGAGGAAGCCTGTGGCTGACTGGGGCCCCCTAAACCCAAGCATATCCCCTCTCTCTGGCTGAGAACCTGGACCTGAGAAAGCCTGTCTCTGCCGTTCTCTTAGGAGAATGTCAGATCACGTGGGTCACACAAGGCTGGCTAGGAAGGGGCAATCAGTGGCCCTGGAAGGCCTGTAGCTCAGCAAGATGACCCGTAAAGCCCCTTTCAGCCCCGGGGAAGAGATGGAAGCTCTGTGAGTGTGCACAAACGTGAGCCCTGGAGGATAGCCTTCTGGGCTTGCATTCTGGGGCTGCCACTTGCTGACGCTGTGACCCCAGGCAAGCTGCTTAACCTCTTTCTGCTTCATCTTGCTTATCTGCAAAATGGGAACAATGGTGGGTGACTGCAGCAGAGTGTACATGATAATCAGGTGCGCAAAGCAAGCGTCTAGCAGGAGATGGAGTGTCTATTCCCAGATCAGCTACTTGTGGGATCTCTGTGTCACAGTGTGTCATGTGTGGCCTTTCTGGTCATCCCCCTGCCACCACCCTGGAGAAGACCTCCTTCAGGCAAGGCCTTATGGGGAGTGAGGAGGAGGGTTCTTGGGATCCCAGCTTCGGGGACAGCTGTCCTGGTCTTCTGTAGGCAGAGTGCTCAGGCCTGCTACTGGCTCTCCTCGATGGCAGAGAAGGACCGTTAGTTTGTAAAGTGCCAGGATGTTCACCAACCAAACTGGATGGGAAATGGTGTTGGAAACTGATATGCCTCAGTCATGTGGCTCCCCACCGAATCCTCTATTCACCCCACCATTATTTATATAGGCTCTCCTAAGTACCAGGCCATGAGATTTAATCAGAGGACTGGGTTTCAAGTCCCATCTCTGTGACTAACTGGCAGTAAGACTGTTCTGTAAATATGAGAAAATCGTAGCTCCAGGCATGTACAGGGGAGCAGCGACCTGCAGGCTCCTTCTGAGTGCCCTGAGATTGCCAGGGTTCGGGGAGACATCTGTACAGTTTCATAGCACAGTGGTTTGCAGAGCATTCTGATGTACGCTCTAACAACCGTCTGTGTTCCTGCTTGGCGGTCTCTGGGTTCTTAGAGTCTTTCTGGGTCTCTCATTTGAATTCTGTCCATAGCACACTCTAAATTCATTTCCTTTTCTTTGGGTCTCAGAAGTAGAAACCAGAGTCACAGAATTCAAAGCAGTTCAAAATTCAGTCTCCTCTACCAGCACCCTGTAAAACTCCACCCTTCCTGAGAGGAAGGGGTGCTAGCTGGAGGAAGATCTTTTCACGACCACGGTGTGCACAATGGCAAGGGCTGCCGCTTACGGACCCGGTGCTGTGCGCAGTCCTTTGCTCATGGTGTCTTGCCTGATCTGCAACAACCCAGTGAGTTGGTACATTTCCAGCCTGTTTACTGACGTCTGTGGGGTCAACTGACCCACCCCAAGGTCCTCTCCCAGGAATTCTGAATTCATCTCTTTGGAGCTCATAACTGGGGGGCTGGGCACCTGGACTGACACCTCAAAAGCCTGTGATAACCACTTGCCCATCCCTACTTCTTCGTCTACTTCCATTTTTTTTAGAGAGGTTTTTGCTATAGGGTACGTGCGCTCGCGAGAGAGACAGAGAGACAGAAAGCGAGAAATCACACCCCCAGGGGGAATGGCCACGCCGCAATCCCTTCTCCTCCATTCTCCTCTCGGGATCTTGGGCACGCATGCACACGCGCCCGGCGTGAGTTTAAGCCACCGGGTCCAAGATTCGAACCGCAGTTGACGACATGGGAGTCCAGCGACATAGCCATTACACTAACTGCTGGTCCCCATCTACTTCCATTTTTACTTATTCTCCCAAATTACAAGTGCCAGCCCTAGATTCAAAAGAAAACAATATCCTTGCACTATAAACGCAGGTCCCTGTACCTGCTGTCGTCAACCTCTACCTGGGTGGACGAGAAGGCACAGGTGTGAAGGACCAGGGGAAAGGCCTGCAAGTCTCACCGGCTTCAAGCCAGCCCCTGGTTCTCTTTCCGGGTCTGAAACTCTACCTCCCGACTGCCCCCCCGGGTCATCTGGGGATTCACCTTCCCACCCTCAAGCTTAAATAATGTCTATAGTTTGTCCAGCAGTCAGTAAGCTCAGGGCCTGTCTCCTTCACTATTTGATAGCCCTGGGGCCTCTCTCTGCAGGTCTCAGTTTCTCCACTGAAACAGTCAGGAGGACACAGTCCTTCCCTCCCCAGTCTCGGGCTCACTTCAAAGGCCATCTGCAGTAGAGGGCTATAGCTATGCACTGGAGGCAGCACACGGAGCGGTCTACATCAGGCCTTTCCTGATGAACCGTTAAGTGCCGGCAGGACAGGAATGGCGTCTGCCAACCCTCTGCTGCCGCTTCTATTCCCCGCTGCCCTGGAGCCTTCAGTAGTCTGTCAAGAGCATGCTCTGGCTAGGATAAATAAGGTGTCCGGGTGCTGGATCCAGGCTTCATTTAAGTCCCCTGCCTCTCCAGTTTTAAAAACAGCAAGTAGTAACCCACCTCAAAAGACAGAAGTACCGACTGGAAGGTACCGGCTTGTGGGGGACAGAGAAAGCCCCCGAGGGGACCCGTTATTCCTATACACTTATCTCCTCAGTACCATTTTAGTGCCCAAGCTGATGTCTCCAACATACAGTATGCAAAGA